ATGTATGATGCAATTAATTTAGTGAATTTAATTATTCATTACTGTACATGTAATAAGTGTGTGTGTGTGTCCATAGATAATAGGGACCATGTGGTGCTTGTATTAATTACATGTATGATGCAATTAATTTAGTGAATTTAATTATTCATTACTGTATATGTAATAAGTGTGTGTGTGTGTCCATAGATAATAGAGTTTACAGGGATAGGAAACTTCCGATTGTGGTTTTATTATTCCCATTCAGTTTATATTGTAGCCTAGTAACAGAATTATTCTGATGCTCCCTTCCCTTTTTACGCAGCCCAAAAATTAGGCTATAGCCATGTCTAGGCTGATATTTTCTACTGTCTCTACCTGATAAAAGCCTTTTTCGAAGATTTTATAATGCGTTATGGCTATAGAATTGTGCTTCAATATAAATTAAAAGACCAGTGTGTCTACTTTATAAAACATCAAATGTTCATGCAATTTTTGCTTTGCATTTCGAATCTGTATGTCAAAGACATTTCTTAATACTTCATGATTAGCAGGTAGACCGATTCTACAAGCAGTCCTCCAGGTCTTCAGACTTAAAGCTGTCCTGTGCGTCACTTTGGTGGTGTTCTTCATACAAATAAAGCAAATTTGCTGTGTTTTGCTTCTACACGCCTATCTCAAAAACTTGACATTCTAGTGACTAAACGGCCCCATCTACAGAAAGTCTATAACCTATCCTGGGTCTTTCACCCATTAGCAGTTGTTTTAAAATACTTTAAGTACCTCAAAAAAATTTTTGTTTAAGGCACATGAAATAAAGTGATGCATTAGTAACATTCTAATTTTGAGGAGCCAAATAATGAAATAAACATGAGATAGCTAAAATGTTAAAAAAATATAGACATGGCTCAATTACAAGTTCATTTTCAAGTTGATACAGTGGACCTGAACAGGCTGAAAGATGATGAGAAAGACCTGCAACATCACAAACTAGCCACATTTGCTTAATGTAAAAATGAAATTTACTGAAAAGAAAGAATTAATAAGGTATGGGGAAGGTAGCTTGATTTCCCACGAAAGGAAGTTTCTTATCCCTGTAACTCTAATATCTATGGTGTGTCTGTGTGAGTGGGTGTGTGTGTGTGGTGTCTCTCTGTGTGAGGTTTTTTCTGTTCATTATTGTACTTTATTGCAGACATGGGGTCAAGCACTTAGTGCTTGTACTTAAGCACAAATAAACACAGCTTTCTAAGTGCTTTGTGCTGCTTACAACTACCTTTTAAATATAATGTATGGTCTTTGTACATGTACTTGTACTTCAAGAAATTGACAGAAGAACAGCAAAAATTGTGAGTGAATAGTGTACATGTACATGTCGTGTTTACACAGTCTAGTGAATTGTAGTAACAGCAGTATACAAGTTTAGTAGCACATTGTGTGATTGTGTGCTAGCTTAAATAATGGTATACAAATCACCCCAAAGCTCCATGCTGTTTTTATTCATTATAAACAATACACAATAGTTGCAGCACAGTAAAGAGTGCTGTATGGCTGATAACGGCATGAGGGGTGGAGTCGAGACAGCCAATACAGCACATGGCACGAACTGTGCTATAATTAATTTATGGGTTATAGTGGGCACATCAAAGGCATCCGTCAAATGCACTCCTAGAGAAGTTTTCTCGAGTCTTCAATGTTGAGACAAAGGTAGTGCAAACATTTAAATCTCGCAAGACAATTTTTTTGCCACATAACAAGAACTAGGCTGCCCTACAATCAATATCTAACATTTCTGGGCACTGAAAGACTGCAAAATGCCGACAATGGTGGTAAAAGAGTCCTTTCCGCAACAGGTAGAGCAGTTTTTCTTCGCTGGTCACAAAGAGCTTCTCACCAAGTACTGCTAGCCATTGTGAAGCCAACCAACCGACACTCACTTCTGGTGCTGTATGCAATATAATGGAACAGACGGTACCTGTGATACGCCCACATAGCATACTATAAACAGAGTTAATATATACTAGACACAATAGTAAATTAAATGACTAAGTGCATGTACATGTACATGTACAATGAACAACTATAATTGTTATTGTTACGCTTTGTGAATGTCTAGTACTTATTAATGTACATAGTACTTAAGCACTCTGGAGAAAGCTTGCTCTTGTACTTAAGTACTTATGGTGAAGCTAGGGATTGTGCTTGTGCTGTTATTTCTAATACATTTAAGTGCTTGTGTTTTTGTGTTTAAGTACATTTCATAATGCTTCGCCCCATGTCTGCTTCAATGTTTTTTATTGCATAGGTGTTTTCCATTTGCTGTAGAAGTCTTTGAAGGCTGGAGCTCCGAAGTTGCTTTTGTCATTTCGTTTTAAGAGGCAACAGATAGGATGGAACATGGAGGAACTGCCAGGCACCAATCCAATAGCTCTCCACCGCATTATGGAAAGGCAATGCTGCTATGTAGGCCGAGCTCCCCTCCCGTCTGTTGTAGAGTCTTTGCTGAAACAATTGGGTTTTTTTTATTTCAAGTCAGTTTTGTTTTGTTTTTTGTTTAAATTTGTTGTTTAAACTGCTTCTCTCACCTATTTAATAGTAATATTTAATAACTTTATTTTGTTCTTGTTCTTTTTTTCAGTGCCCTATTTTGTGTTTTCATTGTTTGTTGGTTTTCCCTCTTTTTATAATAATATTCATAATAACAATGACGAATTATGTTGATGACACTAGTATAGGCACTGCCTACCTGCAAGAAAGTTTATATAATGCTGAATGAATGAAGTAGCAAGTGTCACTTCTTGTAATGCAATAGTTCGAATCCTACTTCAGGTGGT